GATTGTGTGCTGTTAAATTTAATAATATGTAAATCTTAGTGCAATAAAAAATTTACAGTTATTAACAGATGATCAACTTTTGCATATTACATTTATATTTTGATAAGCAACAATTTAGTAAAGCAACAGCTATCATGAGGTAAAAGCTATGTAGTCAGCTCACTAGCATCAATGCTAAAGAGGCAATCAAGTGATTAGCATTATTATACATTTGGAGTTAGGTACAAAGGTGGTCACAAACCTTTTATATCTGCCCCTTTGCCGCTGTACATCGAGGTCTACTTTCTTGTGTTGAAGAAAAAGCCAAACCAAACTTTTTTCTTGCACAGATGATTCAGTAGCTGAGTAACAGTGAACCAGTGGATGAGCTACACATTCTTACCTTTTACCCGGTGACCTGTTGTCAACATTGAGACTGTCTGCCACTAACTCAGCAGCTACCCAGCACAGTGGAAATAATAGAACCTTTTGCATGCCGAAATGGTTCTTTACATGGTGAAATGCTTCTTTAGATTGATGGAGAATGTGTTGTATATGGTTCTATATAGAACCTTTTTGAAAGGGGTTCTATTTAGAACCAAAAAGGGTTATTCTGTTGTTATCAGCATGACAGCATACTCTGCCTTTACTAAAGAATTCTCGAAGAACCATCTTTTTAAGTGTGTAGGCTTACAGGGTTGCCAGATTGCTTCTATAGTTCTTAGTCAAAAATGCTCAAAACTTGCCAAAACCCATTCAAAAAGGACACAGCAACAACAACAAAATGTCTTTGTAACCAATATTAATAATACAGCATTTGACCAACATTACATCAGTAAACTTCTAGGTACATTATCTGTCGATGTCTTGCCTTCGAAAATTTGTAGTATTTGAATTGAATTGTATTGAAGTATTTAAGATGTTGCTGAATGGATGTCTTCTAAACAAATGTGTTTATTTTTATCATTGCTATGAAGAACCAAATGCGTTTTACATAATTTTGAGTATCCTTGTCAAACATCTAAGAAATACCTGGACAAAGACAGTATAAATAATTTCAGATTTTTTAATGCATTGTATATGATAGGACCCAATCAAATGAACAGCAATAATGCAGCAATCATGACTATCCCTCATACAAATTTTAAAACTTATTTACCTTTTGTATTATGCTAAACAGATCAAGGGTCATTCAAATTGTCTATTATAACAGAACAGGTACAGTCAGTAAAGCAGAGTGAACTGGATAATCTATGCCAGGGTGCCCTATCCTTGGTGATCTACCACCCTAGATAGTTCAGATCCAGCACACCTGCCTATAACTTCCAGATTACCTCTTAACACCTTCAATACCTGCATCATTTGTGTTAGATATGGTTTGCGCTAAACTCTGCAGGGTGGTAGATCTCCAGGACAAGGATTGGGCACCCCTGATCTATGCTGTGTTAGGCCTGTATGAACATACATTACATCAATAATAGACTGGCTATGTTAATTGCTGACGTCAACTGCGAATGATAAAAGTACGATACAGACCTCCTCTCAACAGGAGTGAGCAAAATGTATGTCAATCAAAGTTCTGATAATTGATTGGATGTGGGATGTGGGGAGAAATTGGGCCTATTCAAATTTCAGCTGCATTATTACGTAATGTATGCATGTTGTTATGTTAATTTTATGTTAATGTATGTTAATTGTATGTACTTTTTAAAAGTCAGAATTTTGTCCACCCACCAAAGCACTTCCCCCCAACCACAATCCACCCAGTTTGGCAGGAAGCTGCCCAATATGGCAACATTGTGGGCTTAACCTGGTGTTTTGAGAAATGTGAAAAAAAGAAAGTTGAAAAAATTGAAATTTTCTTAAACTTTGTTACACTATTACACTGAGCTGCACAGGCCTGGTTATTTCACCAGTTGTTTGTATTATAAATTGATGTGATCTATTATCATCACTGCCAGTATTCACATATTAAACAAAAGCAGCTCCCACAGGAGAAAAACAAAGTTCTCTGAAAGCAACATTTACTGGAAGTTGAGGGCAGCAGAATGTGCAGTAAATGTCTCTCGGGCAGCTGTTGACATTACACAGTAACTACCTGAACTTCCAGTCAATCTGAGTCATCCAGACGGCTCAGCTAAAGGAGCTCAGATAAAACACTACAGAAACAACTGCTGTACCCAAATATAACCTCACCTGAGCCCAAAGTTACTGACATTGAGAGAGCATTGGTCTCATTTCAGGCAGAGATCATAATTAGGCCACAGTCCACCATCTTAAATGGTAAGACTAAATAATTTTAAATAATGTTAATGAATTAAGATTAATAACATTTTAATACAAGCAACATAGACATACGTACATACAGCTCTGCTGCAAGTGAAAATGGAAACTTCCAGCATGTATCCTTTGTGAACAATCCAGTCGAAAGCAGAGAGCTTATTATTTACAACCTACTCAAGTGGGGTTAACTGTAATAGACTGAGGGGGTGGTTGGAACAGGCACTAGAAAAGATCAAAAGAATCAGTCTAGTAAACTGATTAACACAATTAATTATGTATAATATAAACATGTGTTAAAACCAAATTAGCTTTACAACCTAAATACACCAAAATCTCTGTAGCAAAATAAACATGATTAGTGAAGACAAATGTCAAACAAGTAGAACCATAAATATCAGCATGAATAAAATTAGAACATTTTTATTTACATCGCATCTACAGCACATTTATGAGGAATCTGTGAATACAAATTTCCAAAAAAAGAATAATTGTTTTGAATTTAAATAGGGGGATACAGAGTTCCCTCATGGTTTACTTACCCTGCTGTATGGACGCAGTGATTTGGCTTGGTTAGCTCTCACTCTGAATTATCTATGTGCTTCAAAACAGTGCTATATTGTTTTGACACCAAGAAATTAAAATAATAGTAGTAAATTCTGTGACTTATACATACAACTCACTCACGCTGACTCACTTAAACACTTGTTATAAGTATGAGATTCAGAGTGAAGCTGTAGAAATGTCTGTCTGCTTGCTGTGAAATTCACAGATGATGTTGCTATGGAGCTATGAGAAGATGACCAAAAACATGTTCTACTTGAAACTGTACTAACTATATTTCAAAATCCATGTTACATGTTGAGCCGCAGCACCGCACAGCAGACAGTTTACAAAGCTTTCCAAGTTTTAGCTTTGGGCTAAATGCTAGTGCAAGGAAGATTACTGGCTTTTTCGTCTCTAGAATCATTTTTTCTTATCAATTGGGCCTACCGGACCCCAGAAGACAACTGGTTTCTTTATGTAAATCTGTCTCGAAACTGGCATTACTGAATGATGATCGGTTGGCTAGTGTTACTGCTGCAGCATGCTGATTGGTTGGTTAGCTGATCAGCTCATTGGCTGAAGGAAGAGTCACTCTCCTTGATGCTCCTTGGACCTGTCCAGGGTGTATCCTGCCTTCCACCCGATGACTGCTGGGATAGGCTCCAGCTCCCACTGTGACCCAGAAGGAGAAGCGACTTAGATGATGTGTGTGTGATAAAGTCCTATAGTTGGAGATCAAAAGGACAAATATAACAGCAGTGTTAAAATGTGACTTTCTGTGTTCAGAAAATTACTGCATTTTTCTATCTAAAATATGATTAAGCATTTACAAACTAGGATTTTGCAGAAAAGCTCCATAAAATCATTAGTTTTGGACTCGATCGAGAGCGCCCTCTAGGGTTCGACAGACCTGGAAGACAATACTCACCGGCAGTTCTTCTCTCTACACATTCTCTGACCAAGTAGTTTAAGTTGTCCTGAAAATTCAGCTGACAGCAGCGCACTCTAGTGGCGAAACATAAAAAGGACGCTGCTGTTGCTTAATCCGGCCAGCAGATGGCAGCATTACTGCATGAAGAACGGAACACAGTAATAAAACACTTCGGTCACGTTTCCTAATTTGATTTAAAGCTCAAATAGTGGAGACCAGGTCACTGTTTTAATTAGACTACAGTTATCTTCAAGAATTTCCTCAAACACTGAAGTGTCGTGTATAACTTATCATACGCATAGCTACAGGGTTTTCTTAATAAACTGATTATGTTGGCAAACCAGTGACTGTTTTATAGAGGAAACTTTCTCATTTAATTCGCTCCTTCCGTGTCATAACAAAGAAAGCAACTGTTCACCATCGCACCCTCCCCGTCCCTCCCGTCCGGCTCTGCACTATTGGACGGGCTTTTAGTGTTGTAGTAAAAAAAAACCCTTTTCCTGTCTCTGACATAATCTGGTAACTAAATATCTTTAAACACATTTTAGCATTTACACACTCCGTCTTACTGTTTTATATCTTTTACTCATATTTCTCTCCTGACACGTGGATATGTAGCAGTGTTTATATTTCCTTTATACAGTGTCCTCACATATCTTCAAAGGCTTATATAAATCATCTAAAAATCTAATATAAACCGCCCATAAAACCGTCCTGAAACATTCACAGTACCGAGGCGCCCTCTAGTGGTTATTTTATTTATGACAAACTGGTGTCCCTTAATGCGTCCAGCAGAGAGCAGCATTTCTACATGAACGAAAAACAGGTTAACCTTTTGCATCACCAAAATGAGGGAAACGTTATATTTTACACCAGCTGTTTGAGGTAAAACCAACATTCACACCCCAATACATATTACTGATCAACTACTCTCCAAATAGGTTTACTTACATTCATCCCTTTCTACTCCAATCTGAAATACTTAATTTATTTTTATTTATTGAAATTCATAACAATATTATCCTGTTAAACTCACTAACACACTTCTACGCAGTTGATGTTAAAAATCTATTCTCGTCACTCTTTCTGCATCCAAACCCGTAAGTATTCCATGCTATATATGAAATGGGCTCTCATTCAACACCATAAAACAAAAGCCACTCAGTTGCCACTTTACATTCACAGAGTGCATGACTTCAAAATCTAAGATGTCACATCTGTAGCTGGATTACAGAACAAAACAAAAGACACAAAAAGCTCAGAGTATGATTTTCTCCTTGTTTTATTGTACGAAATATGCACAGAGATTTTAACGGTAGGACTTCTGGTAGCGGGCACGAGCTCCAGGACCACCGAACTTCTTGGACTCGCAGCGACGTGGGTCCGCAACCAGGAGGGTCCTATCGTACTGGATCAGGATGTCCTTAATCTCCTTCTTAGATGCCTCATCAACATCTGAAAACACAAAACAATCAAGAGAAAAAGAATTAATAAAAGAACATAAGGACACTGTAATTAACAATAGTCACAATATAACAAACCTTTCAAATTTTCAAAAAATAAAAAAAAATCAACCATCCAGAGACAACTTACATTTCTGGTAGTAAGCAACCAGGGCTTTGGAGATGGCTTGGCGAATAGCTGTAAGTGAAACGCAAGACATTAGAACATCTGTAGAGCATAAAACTGTATGTTGTTGCAGTCAGAGAAAACGTCTCCAACTCCTGTTTCTTTTTCCTTTAGAAAACGGCAACGGCCCTTTACACTATGTGATTCAATCGAGCACGATGAAGACCAATACAATTTACAATACACTACAAAAAACCCCACGTGTTCTTTTATAGAGTTATCGGTGCAGAGATAAGAGGATGTTACATCAGCGATGCTGTAACCAGAATAAACTGTTCGATCTATGGTCGGAAAAAGACACGCACCAAATGGAATATCAGGGCCGATACCAATAACCTCAAATCATCATTTTTAAAGTTTAAACTATAACTTAAGAGTGAGCATTTATAACTCTATAGACAGATCTGCTAATGCTAACTGCGTTATTCCAGGCTACCTAGATCAACGGAATTATGAGTTGTCAAATGATTTATTGGATCAATGGTACTAAAGGTCGTTTCCATCTCCCTGAGTCACAGCTGAACGTATGTTGCAAACTTCCTCCGCTGAAACTCACAATACAATAGTTTTCTCTCTGCAGCGTAATTGTGTGCACCAGCAAAAACAGGCCACCAAGGTATTATATGAGCTTCTTGTCTGTACTTCCAATATCAGACCAATAAGAACAGGTATTGCTGATTATTATTGCAGCCCATGATATACTGTGCATTAGAGCTCAGCCAATATCTGCTGGATGATAGTATTGTATAAGCCAATAATCAGACACCTGAAAACTTTATATTAGGACAGAAACCCAGCACTGCCTGAACATTCTGCTTCTCCAGAGTGCAATAAATACATCAAATACTGATATGATTCTGATAGCACTAGATATCCTTACTGAATATTAGGCATAAATTTCTTCTCGTCAGTCGAGTTCCATTCGGCACACAACGTGCTAACCAACAGAAACTCAAGCCAAGAAAAGGAATGGAGAGGGTGTTCTACCGTAGATCTGTGCGACATGTCCACCGCCCTTCACACGGACTCTAATGTCGACGCCAGCAAAACGCTCCTTTCCCAGCAGCAGAATGGGCTCCAGCAGCTGAGAAACAAAGGGACACTTGGTTACTACACACAGATACCATAGCACTGCTGTCTGATTTTGTACAGAAGATGTTTCATAAAATTGACTGAAGAGGTCTTACTGAGCGCACCTGTGTCTCATTCATTCTGATTAACTGACATGATTAGGATGGTTGGTCTCAGATACATGCTGTAGGCCTGTGATTTAACTCAATCAGCTCCCCAGTTAAGCTTTATTCACTGTAAATAACTATACAGCAACCCAAAATTGACCCACTTAAGTTTAGTCTTACCTTTACTAACATTTTAAATTTAGTGTCACGGACAGTGCTGAGTCTTACAAATACACAAAATATGGAACAACAGATTAACAACCTCAGATTAAAAACAATCTGTCATCTCTAAATACTCCTTCCGTCATCTGCCAGAAGTTTAAGCATCAAGAAGACAACTGGCACATGTGCACCTCCTGATTTAATTTCGTGCACTGTATTGCTACAAATCAGTCTACATCCAGGACAACATAACACTTTACAGAGATACAGCAGATCCTTGGAATGACAAAGAACAATGAAACAGCAATCTAACACCGCTGCGTTGACCTGAGTGAAAACACTGAGTTCATGTTCATGAACTGTCAACACAAGTAGCAGCTTCTTTACAGACTGTAGTTAAAAGCACTAGACTGTTTATATTGTGGACGTACATCAGAGTTCCCTTCCAAACACGCAGTACATTTGACTCTGCATCAAACAGTAAATAATCAACTAGTCTCTGTCTCCAAATAACTGAGCAGGTGTTCACCACTATGAATCAAAGCTTGCAAACATGAAGGCCCTCTGTGGACAAGACTGGGCATCCTGGTGTATACTCACCTTGTACTGCAATGTAGCTGGCTCAACCGTCTCGAGGGGTCTGCCATTCACTTTAATCAGCCCATTGCCTCTTTTGCAGTGGGCAACAGCTGTGGCTGTTTTCTGGAAAAGATGGACAAGTAACAATCAAAAAGTTAACTATACCACTTCATAAGAAGACACTTATCATTCACAGGTGCTGTTATAAGCAGCTGCTTGACGCAGTGGATTCTGAATCATTTTTTGAATACTCTTGTTAGAAAATGTGATGTGTACATTTTTACAAGTTAAAAGTAATAAGCTGAGGTCTTCTACTGTTTGCTTAGTCTATGCACAGATGCCTTTGAACTGAGTGTATGGGTAAAGGTGGTATGTGTAATTGTGTATATATTTTGTGTACATAAAGTTACCATATTCTTCAGCTACTGTAGCACCTTAAATTTATACATGTAGTGCTATTATTCTCAACAGAGCATCCCAGAAATGTTACTTTTAAGTTGTCAAAAACTTAACATCAGACCTGACATCAGATTCTCTTAAAATCCAAAAGCTACATAAGAAATACAGAATTCTGATCCTGGTTTTAGGCAAAACTAAAGGCATTTAGCCAGTTCGAGCAGATATTCACTGTCGGGCTAATGAGCTGAGTCTTAACATTCCTCATATGAGTCTGTTTGCATCAGTTAGGTGAGTAACTACTGTTTACTTACATTTATATCTACATAAAATATGGATCTGGAGAAGTAAAGCGATTAGTCTGACATTCATTTTCACTAAAGTAACAACATTAATGCGTTACAGACTCAGTTAGAGGGACACAAACAGAAACAGAACAGCCGCAAACATGTGGATCACTCGCCACGTTAGTCAAAGAAACGTGTCTATCTGGCTAATTTAACTTGTGATTTAACTAATGATTCGCCTCCTCCAACAGATTCGGTTTGTTAAGGCTGAACAGTTTAATATTCTACTGAATTAGTTTTACTGTAGCAGGGGGCTCCACTAAAATGGGACCACTCCACAGCCCCATCGAGGCTGAAATCAGCTTCCTATTCACCAGCTTGTTCGAGTTTATCTGTTCCGCCTTAAACGGTGCCGCATTTATATGATGCCGCCTGGAGACACGACAGAACCCGCTGCACCGTTTAAGGTGGAACAGGAAAATCGGAAAACTAAGCCGGCGAGTCAGAAGGTGAAGTCAGCCTCGTCTATCCTCGCCAGTTTACACGGCCGTAGGAGCGTCAATGTAGGTGTTTTTATGCCTATATAATACGGCCATTATCACATCACACACAGCGACGGTGTCCTTTAACAGGTGATCACCTAAACTGCCGCTCGGCGGGCTGATCTGTCCACACGGAGGGGGATTCGGTGAAACTGCGCTCTCGGTAAGCGAACCGATTAGCGGCTAACAGGCTAACGCAGCACGTTTCAGCAACTCTGTTCATCTTTTTTACTCACTTTGCGTCCGAAGACCTGCACAGACTGTAGGGGTCCTTTGGCTGGCATGATTCTGTAATGAAATGAGAGTTACAGTGTGAGTGTTACAGTTTAATCCGCGATAAATGATGAATTTGTCTGAGAGTAACCGGAGCTCGAGCGCACCCTCTCACAGCGCCGCGCGGAAAAAGGCCGAGCAGCGGGGTTTACCCAGCATTACTGCAGGGGCGCGGGCTTCTTCTACTGTACAGACACACAGCGCACACAGACTCAGCACTGACATCTACCGGAGCAGTCAGTACACACAGGTTCATTTTACACGGGGAGTTTCTAAACGTCTGATTATTTCAGCGGTTCAGATGTGAAGCGGTTTGTAGAGAAACTTACTGACTCAGATTTCTTTACAGTGGTGGTGGTCGGAACCAGGGGTTGTGATGTTTACAGCACAAATATAGCTATTTTATGTACTATACAAAACGACCAGTGCATGCATGTACCTCTCTGCCCTGCACAATTTATGAATATTTTAGGTCAAAATGTTTTCATAAAACTATCATAAAAAAGGTCTAAGCCATCATGGGCTAGTTTTCATAATCATTTCACATAATAACTTTCTGTGAGGGAGCCTTTAGAGGTATTAAACTCCCCAGATGTCTGGTTCCTATCACCACCACTGTGAACAATCCTGACTCTAGAACAGAGCATTTCACATCAAACTACTTTATTTACATCTTATAGACTGAACTATGCTTAAATGTTGAAAACTGTTGGAATTCTACTGTCAGTTAAATATGTGTGAGGTCTCTCAAGGTTCAGTTTTAGAGCCTGTTACCTGTCATTAGGTGATGATATTAACATGATATTAATTTTCATAGCTATGCTGATGCCATGCAGTTATACATTTCCAGCCCTTCTGAAAATCAACACTCTGTTGACTGGCTTACCAGTGTGTCAGGTATTTCTCTGTAGATTTGACATTTTCTACAACTAAATGAAGAAAAAACAAAAATACTGATCTTTGGTACTCAAACTCAGAGAAGCATGTTTTGTGAGAAGCTAGGCCTTTGAGCTCCATATGCCAAACCTGAAGTACGAAACTTGAGTGTGATCTTAGACTCTGAGCTCTGTTTTATCCCGCATGTAAACGCAATCGCTAAAGTCAGTCCTTTCCTATCTTAGAGCAGATTTGTTACAAGCAGAGTTGATTACTGTAATGCTCTTCTTACTGGGCTCCCTAAGAAAACAATCCATCCTCTACAACTCATACAGAATGCAGCAGCACAGATCCTAACAAAAACAAAAAGAGAGCTCATATCATCCCTAACTGCACTGGCCACCTGTATCTTTCAGGATTTAAAAGTTCTGCTACTTGTTTTTAAGGCTCTATATGACCTAAAAGCACCTGTTTACATCACAGAATGGCTGTTTATATTCCAACATGTGATCTTAGATATGCAGATAAGGCCTTCTGCAAATACCTTCTGTAAAATACAGAAAACAACAAGAGGCTTTTTTCAGTTATTATGCTTCTAAAGTGTGGAACTCAATTCCACCTTCTATTAGACAGTCAAGCTCAGTGCTCACTTTCAAGAAATATTTGAAAACATATATTGATATAGGATTTCAGCTGCTCAACAGTTCAGGGTCTTATCTGCAATATTTTTCATTTCATAATGCGCAAAATGTTCTCAGTAGGTGACAGTCTGGACTGCAGGCAGGCCAGTTTGGCACCCGGACTCTTTTAATATGGAGCCATATTGTTGTAATAGGTGCAGAATGCAGTTTGACATTGTCTTGCTAAGATAAGCAGGGCCTTCTCTGAAAAAGACGTCGTCTGGATGGCAGCATATGTTGCCAAAACATGTATGTATCATTCAGCATTAATGGTACCTTCACAGATGTGCACGTCACCCATGCCATGTGCACTAATGAACCCCTACACCATCATGAATACTGGCTTTTGAACTGTACGCTGATAACAATCTGAGTGGTCTTTAGCCCAGAGGACGCAGTGTCTGTAATTTCCAAAAAGAATTTCAAATGTTGATTCGTCGGACCACAGGACTCTTTTCCAGTCATTAAATGAGCTTGGTCTGATAGAAGGTGGTGGGGTTTCTGGATCCTGTTTATATATGGTTTCTTCTTTGTGTTTTAGAGTTTTAATTTGCATTTGTGGATACAGTAACAAATTGTTTTCACAAACAGTGGTTTTCAGAAGTGTTCCTGAGCCCATGCAGTGATTTCCTCTACAGAATCATATCTGTTAGCAGTGCCGCCTGAGGGCCCAAAGATCATGACCAGCAAATACTAGTTTTTGGCCTCATCCCTTTACATACAGAGATTTCTCCAGATTCTCTGAATCTTTTAATGTTATTATGTTCCACAGATGATGAAAAGTCTTTTGTTGCCCCCTCCCAACTTTTTTGGAATGTGTTGTTGGCATCAAATTCAAAATGGGCTTATATTTTTCAAAACGCAATAGAATTTCTCACTTTCAACATTTGATATGCTGTCTTTGTACTATTTTCAATGAAATATAGGGTTTAAATGATTTGCACGTCATTGCATTTTGTTTTGATTTACATTTTGCACAGCGTCCAAACTTTTTTGGAAATGGGGTTGTACATGAAAAATGTAAAATATGGGCCATTTATGTAGTAAACATTATATAGTTCATCACCAAAGTGCAGTAGACACAGATTTATGACAGCCATCAGTTCAACGCATGCAATGTTGGTTTTCTATGATATAAGCCCTTTAATAACAGTCACATCATGTTACAGAAGAGGTATTATAGGATGTATGAGAGGGAGGAAGTTCAATAAAAGTACACCACCACAGATATGCCTGTGACTGACTAAACTGAGGCTTACCCAGCTAGAGAACTGAGGTGAACAACAGCATAAAGACAAAATAGAAAAGTAAAGAGAAAGTCCCACAGACTGAATCATCATAAACTGAGCTAGACCTCTTGTGTTCTCCTATTTAAATTAGTTCTCCTCTGTGGAAAATAGAAAATTCCATTTGCCATCTGCACTTTAAAGATTTGTGTTAATCTGGAGTCACAGCATTAGCTAATGATCCATTAAAATAAGTCCAGCTCAAGAGCAGGAACACTCTATATATATGTGAGATATGTGATATGTGAGATCAGTTGGGCTACAGAGCATGACTGAGAGACAGAGGACAGTAAACGAGTGTTTACATACTATATATGTAATATCACACGCTAAAAAGGTGAGGAAGATTTGTGTTTGTATGATATGCACGGATGTTTCAGAGATATGTTTTCAAATGTTTCTTAAAAGTGTGCACTGAACTTGACTGTCTAATAAAAGGTGAAATTGAGTTCCACAAATTAGTAGCAGAACTTTAAAACCCTGGAAGATACAGGTGGCCAGTGCAGTTTAAACAGACTGAATCATAGCATCATAAATGAAGTTGAATTATAGGAAGACCTATAAAATTAGTTCTGCTTCGTTGAAAATAGGTAATTATTTCATCTGCACTCTACAGGCTCATGTTTTCCCTGCGGCTGAGTCACACCATTAGCTGAAGATCCATTAGCCAAGTCCTTCTGCACAGTCAGGAGTGTTAGAGCAGGAAAACTCAGACATGTGCAGTAGATGTGGACTACAGAAGAAGGACTGAGATGCAGTGCTCTAGGCCATGTTCTCCTTTCTCATTCAGCACTAATTCTGTGTGTAAAATGGAAAATCACCCTTCCAGAATTGCATTCTCCAGCATTTCCTTCACTATATCCCAAAATGTTTTATTTAATAATACAATTTCCTCCACCCACGTTGTATTACAACAGAAGTGAAGACGTTAATTTTTTAAAATGATGAATGATGAAGGCAACACTAGGGGGCGCCACAGCTCCTGCAGACAGCAGAGTAGAACCAAAGAAGCCGATGTAGTTGAGGTGTCAAAAATGTTTGTTTAGGTTTTCCTTCGTAACCGTCGTCCTTAACATATACTTTTTGTTAAGGAAATCTGATTCAGTTTAGAAATAAACCTTAACAAATAGCCTGAAGCTTGTTGTTGAAATTCAGTATTGTTGTTTGGCTACAGGGATGTTCAGTGTTACCTAGGTTACCTAGATCAGTGGTCTCAAACAGGTCCTCAGGGGCAGTCCACATTTCTGCTCCATCTCAGATCCACACATCTGAACCAACTACAAACAACAATGGACACCTGGTTCAGGTGTGTTAGGAGCTGGTTAGATCAAAACTGTGGAAGGTCCTGAGGAATGGTTTGAGAATCATCTATCTGGACAAGATAGTGGTATCATGTGTGGCATTCCGGGTGTGCGGTGTGTCCTAAAACGTCTGCATTTCAGTATTACCACCCAGATGGCGGGGCCTGCATTTTAGTCACACTCAGTTAATACACATTCAATGTCCACCTTCCACTATTAGAAACACCTGCCTTGTGCTTCCACTCACTGGCCACTTTATTAGAAACACCTGCCTTGTGCTTCCACTCACTGGCCACTTTATTAGAAACACCTGCCTTGTACTTCCACTCACTGGTCACTTCATTGGAAACACTTACCTTGTGCTTCCTCTCACTGGCCGCTTTATGAGTTCAACCTACCTTGTGTTTCAGATCACTGGCCACTTTATTAGAAACACCTGTTTTGTACTTCCACTCACTGGCCACTATTAGAAACACCTACCTTATACTTCCATTCACTGGCCACTTTATTAGAAACACCTACCTTGTGCTTCTACTCACTGGTCACTTTATTGGAAACACCTACCTTATACTTCCATTCACTGGCCACTTTTATTAGAAACACCTGTCTTGTACTTCCACTCACTGGCCACTATTAGAAACACCTACCTTATACTTCCATTCACTGGCCACTTTATTAGAAACACCTACCTTGTGCTTCTACTCACTGGCCACTTTATTGGGGTTGCCACCTGTCCAGGACTTTTCCTGGATTGTTCAGGTTTTTGGTTGCCTGTCCAGGAAAAATTATTCCATTCCAAGTATTTTCATATGTTAGTATTTCTTATGAAGTTTAAAGTGCAATTATTTAATAAACAATGGGTTTATATAGTACACATTACCATCAGCGTATGGACAGTTGTTTGGGAAGTGTGTCCTGTTGGTGACATAATGCTTAATGGCAATTGCCATGTTTAACCAGTATAAATAGCTATTTTCTGTCTAATATTTTTATAACCCCTCATCTCTCTCTCTCTCTCTCTCTCTCTCTCTCTCTCTCTCTCT